CCCCCGCTCTTCAAATAATTCCATGTAATAACACAAACATGAGTGATTCCCATCGGGTATCTTGGTAAACAACTACTTAGTTACCGGGCTATAGAGAAAATTGTCAACAGATAAGAAAAATTGGTTCATAGATATTAAAACAGAAACAACTTACCTTGTCAAAATCAAGAGTCAGTGTAGCTGAATCCATATTACAAGGAAACTTAAGCATCAATTCCATTGACCCTGATGATAACTTATCCTCGGAAGGAGATATTTTCATCTTCCTCACCACATCTGAAATTATCTGAGCCTTCCCATCTACAAAAATATGCAGCGTATGATAATAAACTTTAACATACCAAGGAACAACCTGAAAAATTACAGCATCCACCCCACAACTATCTGAAGCTCTCAAAAAATGTTCATGCAAATTTGCAGATCGTATAGTGATAGCAACAGAGCCTCTTTCATTTCCACTTCCCATTAGAAAACGGTTCACGTGGAAAGGAGCACGAGAGCAAGACCAAACCAAAGGAATTTTCCAATGAATGCCTAAATCCAAAGGCACAGAGTCGTTCAACCCACTGACTTCAAACACATAGAGAACAGAACTTCTGAGCTTATTCAATGCATTTAGTTCTCTAATCTCATTGTTTGGTATCACAGACAGTTCAAAGGCTGAATTATTCCAGGAAGACAAAGGTTGCAGTTTATCTACTTTAAGAGCTAAATCATTCTCCAGTTCAAGAAAAATTCTGCTAGTTTTTGCAAGAACACAATGCCCAACAACCTTCTTCCCAAACAAGGAGTTAAGAGACCAACTAGGTTGAAGAGATCCATCACCCAAAGAAAGAGAACTAAGCCTTCTCATACTGGGTTGAAGGACAAGGGTGAGAGTCTGTTCAAGAATTATACCAGTAAACTCAGAAGATATCAGTTTTAGCCTTTGGGAGTGATAGTGGCTCTTGTAAATAGAAGGTCTGTCTAATAATAAAGCTATCCCAGCCTTATCACGGCAAGGAAGTAGTTTTAACCAAGGAGTGAGGTTCTCGGTGCAAACTGCTTCTCGTGGTAATGCGCCATATCGTAATTTGCTTGAATTTGATTGGAAACCCCAAGTTGGAGAAGAATAAGCTGTGGAGGACTCGAGGAAATTGATGGAAGAGCAGAAAAGACCCGAAAGAACATGGGTTAAATTTTTCCAAGTATGATCAATTGTATTTAGAGGGAGATCAAAGTTTGCCCAAAGCTCAACACCAGGAGGCTTGGCATTGGTGGTGGAGATTGGATCAAATCCACCCCATTTCTCATAGTTCCAACGTCCTTGTGTGAAAGATAATTCCAACTCCCTTATTTCAAACTTACGTGCCTGCCCAATCATTATAAATTTTATTACATGTCCACATAGAAGAGGAATAGCATGGATGTTGAAGAAATGTTGTTTCTCATTTAGGGGTGGTATGATAACGGATTTAAGTTTAATCTTTCCAGATTAAAAATATGACAATTTAAGTCCATGGTTTAGCAAAATCAATTTATTCTTAATCTCTTCACAGTTTTGTCTTAAAATACCAGATTTACTAAATTCTATTGTCGGGAAGTCTTCGCAAATTCAGATTTAGAGGATTTACTAAAGCTATTAAAGCTGTTACCATACAAATCCTTATTCTTGCATGTTCTTGAACAAGTACAATTCTCTCTCAGTTAAGCTAAAATCCAATCAGCAAAGCTCGCGTAACTATTTTGTGAAGCATGTATACATAAAAAATGTCAATTCATAATCCAGTAATTGTAGACAAGCAGCATACTTGAAGCCCAAATAAGCCAGGCAAACTAATCTCAATTATGAGAACTTGTGAGAAAAGAAACATATGCTCAGAAACGTATTCAAGAGCACAAAAAGGTAGTATCAGACGCTTAATCACTCTTTGATCCGACTATTGAAGATGAAAAGGCGTCTAGCTGCAGGACTAAGCCTTTTAACTCAGAACTATAAATATAAAACCTTTTCAAGATCCAAGTGAAAAACCAAACTTTAACCTAATCAAACAGCAAAATCACGAGCAAATATATTCTCATATCTAAAAAAATTAGCAGAACATGGATCATGTTGTCTGTTATTAAAAATGTGTCATAATAATGATACAAAACATATTCACGTAAACAGCAAGGACCTCCATTATTTTCTTTTTAGATTATATGCAAGATCCTAGTTCCATCTGAATTAGAAAACCATAATAAACAGAGTAAGAAGTAACGAAACCCCGCGCTGTCCAGAGAAAAGTCCCAATTTAAACCCTTAATATGAAATAATAAAACGATTTGTAAGGGCAAGTACAAAATCCCGATATAAAAATTACAAGTAATCCAAACCAGCTGTGCGATGGCCTTGGGGAAGAGGTGGTGATGGCGTCCGTTGGCGGCGGAAGGAGGAGCTGAGCTCTGGAAGTGGAAATGGGAGAGTACTTTTCGGTCAGGCAATGGTTTCAGTAGAAGCTCCTCAGTGAACTCCTCCTTCAATCCCTCACCACGTTCGACCAAAGCTAGGGCTGGAAGGTGAAAAGAATTGGAGAGGAAGATTATTAGAAGGAAGGCGGAGGTATGGAATCGCCGGCGGAGTTTCGCCATGGAGGCCGAGTTAAACATTAGGACTTCTCGTTGCCTGACCACCTACGATGACAGGAAGAGCC